TATATAAGGATCAAGATTCACTCCTTCATTGTTTACCCGGCACACACTCCTGCATACTTTCACTGTGCTGAACATCGCAGAGGCTCGGGTTCACCTGCAACGGACAATGGTTGCRTTTATAAAAAGAAGATAATGACCTTAATCTTGATTTTGTCTGCGTAAAACTCTCACGTCCAAAACGCAGCAATACGACCAACGATTGTTTCCGTCTGAGCCRGTCTCCTCCCGCAGTAAAACAAAGAGCAGAGGCAAATATTTCATCTATGCTTTCACTGTCATGCATGCGTGGCAGGAGATTGAAAAATGATTTCTCATGCACTTGTCACAGGCTAGTCCTCTGTTATTTATTTTCTCAGTGAATCACTAAATGAACATTTARCCACCTGCCATCAGTCCATTACTTAGCTTCATAGATGATTATTTTATCATGAAAGAAAACAATTGTGATGATTAAAGGGTGAATTAATAGCWGTGTATGAAGCCTTGGCTCCTTTTCTACATCATTTAAAGACTATAGAAATGTAAAACACATCTGGAAATCATCTACATTACTGATTACTACAAACAGCTTTTAAATTTCTTTATACGCTATCTGACCAAAGTGGGAAATTATTTCAAAACAGAATAAATTAGTATTATAAAGCACGAAGAGTAAACAGGTAAAGCAAAGACCTCAAATATAAATAGCTTTCAGAATAAACTACACTTATCTTAAATTAATGGGAAAATGAAACACAGTCTGACAATAAAATGAAAAATCTCCAAAAAATTGAAACAACACGTTACTTGAGAGTCAAATTACAAAGAAATTTATATGCAAAACTGCACATAGACTCCCCAAAWTGTAGACAGTTGTGTTTTTCTGTATAACTCCAAGCAAAATGGACCTGATTTTACTGTGTCTCAATTTTTATTTAAATAATGCATGCTGCAGAGATGCTACCTTTTAAACGACGATTATGACAGTGGATTTTTCCTGCCACCATTTAGCTCGTGATTGATGGATTGACAAATGTAGAAAGGAAGCATGACAGACAAACACATCTTCCTCCCCCTATAATTATAGCTAAAAGACTTTCCTGGGTTGAATAGTTAACGATCAGAAGCAGGTGCAGCAGAAGTGCATCAGTCCTGCAAATAATTCAGTCATTCTCCCATAAAAAGCCTTTTTTTTTGCATGAAGCAGCTTCCTGGCGACGTTACATTTGACCTCAAACCCTGAGGCTTGTACAATGCACTTAACACTTAAAGTCACATGAGTATTTTTAAAGCCTGTCACCAGCAGCACAAAACAACACTTTTAGCACAAATCTGACAGTGAGAAAAGCACTAAAAATGCATCTCCCTGATAAATAKAAGTCAATTAAATGTCCACAGTCCACAGTTCAGCCCCCTCTCTTTCACACACACATGCTAACACACGAACTCCCACGTTGCAGATGGAAGAGAGAGACCACTCTATGTCTCGCCAGGTGCTCAGGGAAAAAAAATAGGTCGCTCACAGTGCCATTTCCTCTCACACACAGGGAGGCCTGGCCCAAACACACTGGTACTTTGAGCTCATTACTGACTATTCACATAATCCTTTCTCTGTGTTCTCTTTCTGTGAGGATACTAATTTCACAACGAGCCCATCCTCACAGTCCATTTGTCCAAAGATAGTGGTTGGGAGAGGGGAAGCAGACACGTGGCACTGACTGAGACTAAAAGCTAGTCTTAACGGGGGGATACCGCTACAGTTTTCCTCTCTGTGAAATGAAAGACAATCGCGTAACTACCCTCCATTTTTCTCCATTTGCTGCACACCAAATGTATTCCGAGGCATTATACTTCACTAAAGGAGACCGGCTTTTTTTCAATTCAATTTCAGGAACCAATTTACTCCTATTATTGCCTTTAAGAGCGAGGCAAAAGGAGCAAGTCTTGGGCTTGTTTGTCATGTCCCTCTTTCCCCCTCATCTCCTCCTATTAGGTTATTGTGCTACTTAGCAGATGTCTATCAGTGGCAGGAAATTATCTCAGAAACCAAACTCCTGTGACCCATCACCCAGCTGCCCTGAAAACAGCCCGTCTTGTCGAGGTCAATCTCTGTGAAGGTGTGTGTGTGTGTGTGTGTGTGTGTGTGTGTGTGTGTGTGTGTGTG